TGAATTTGGCGGTTTAATCACTGGCCCGCGTTGCCGGCGGCGCCACTGAATGCGGCTTGCTGAAACCGCCAGACTTACCTACCAATCTAAATAGTTTGATCATCTGTGACATGTCTTGTTCTATGGTTTGTTGATTGGAGGGAGAGTTTACTCTTGATTGTTTACTAGTTTTAAGTGTTGGTTCAGAAATATAGAAAATGCGTTGTGCAGTTTACGGTTGCAATAGTGATACGAAAGTTAAAACTCCAAAAATAAAGTTTCATAGATTTCCAAAAGACAGTATTTTAGGCAAGCTATGGGAGAATGCTTGTTGTCGTACGGACACAATTAATGTTGCCTCCGCTAGAATATGCTCCCAGCATTTCAAAAATGAGGATTTTGAGAGAAATTTTCAATTTGAACTTTTAGGATACTTGCCAAAAGCAGGTTTTAAACTTAAGCTTGGTGCAGTTCCTTCCCTAAATTTGCCAGAGATCAAATCGCTAACAAAACAGCAGGTAGATTATAACGAAAGAGCTTCAAAGAAATTTGGAAAAATAGATGCACAGGACAATATCGTCCTTGCTCTAAACATAAGGTACGAAAATATAAATACATATTTTTATACTTGGCATAAAGCAATTGTAGACATACAGTCATTTCAATTCAATGAATCTATCGTGATTCGTGTAATAAATCTTGCACAAATTAACGCATCAAAAAAAGATCGTAAAAATAAAAATTATTGCTCTCATTTTTTGTTAAATTTTAAATCATACGTACCTACGTGATATTATAACTCTTTTCTACTAATAGGCCAAGCTATACAGGGTGATTCAAAATTGGCGTCATTCCTCTGGAGGTGTCTGGCGGTGTTTTAGGAGTACAGAAAAAATAGTAAAATCAATTAATTATTATTAACAATTGAGAAATTTGAAAAAAACTATATTAGAAAATCGGCAATAATGTTTTTCAAGGTAATCGGCCTAATTAACATTACGTAAATGCCTGTTGCTTCGTAATTATTTAAAAGGCCGGTAACCTTGGAATTATACAGAAAGTTACAATAAAATAGACAAGGATAAACCGTAAAATCAACAGTAGTCATTGTCATCAACCTTGACTTTTATTTCACCAGAGATGAGGGGTGTGTAATACTTGGAGCGTTGCTACTTCTCGTTATGCAAAATACCCGAATAAGAGGATGTTCTGGAATACTACATCTAATAGATATCGTCAATGATAGGTTCAGAAAATATGGCGGACTAGACGAAAATATTTCCATTGACGAGAGTATGATACCATACTACGGCAAACACTATGCCAAACGGTACATCAGAGGAAAACCCATTCGTTTCGGATTAAAATACTGGGCAATTTGTACAAGCTCTGGATACCTGGTGTCTTTTGAGATTTATACAAGAAAATCTCAAGATAATTCTGATAAACGAGGATTTGGGCTTGGAGGCGATATAGTGCTTAAATTACTAGAAAAATCGGAGATTTTACCTAATGGCTACAATATTTATTTTGACAATTATTTCACTAGTTTACATCTACTAGGACATTTGTCGCAAAACAAAATCTGTGCTACAGGAACTATACGAGAAAATCTAACAGGACACTGTCTGTTTCCTGAAAAGAAGTTTTGGAAATTGCAAGAGAAGGGTAGTTACCAATTTGTGGCCAAAGATGATACGCTCTTAGGCCAATAGAAGGACAATAAAATAGTAACTGGGGCTTCAAATTTTGAAAGCGAAGAAATTGTTTACACAACAAGATGATGTAGGATTTAGAAATCCAGAAAACATATTTTACAACCAAAATTAATTGCCAATTACAACAAAGGAATGGGTGGTGTTGACAAAATGGATAGCCTCATGCGCTTTACAGATCCAGAATACGGCAAAGAAAATGGTATTGGCCAATGTTTGGTTATTTGCTGGATGCTGGTTACTTATACCGACTCTACCCGAATAATCCCAGCTGTGCATCTTTACTGAGTTTCCGTTGTTTTATTGCTCTTGGTTTCTTGAACAAACATGAAAAAATGCTATCAAGAGGAAGGACAACTTTAGCTCCTGAGAATCCTTCTCAATTTGACAATGTGGGCCATATTATTAAATATAATGAATCTGACAGAAGATGTCAAGTGTGTAAAAAAAGAGCAACTTTATTTGTATAAAGTGCGATTGTGGACTGCATCCGAAAGCATGTTTTGACCAATTTCAGACAAAAGTGTGATGTGTTATGAAACCAAAAAAAATACATGTTGTAGTACAAGTTATACTTCAAAAATTTGTATTCCTAATATGAAATGTACCGAAAAGCCAAGTCTTAATAAAAATTTTCTTAAAGTAGATCGGTGGTATTTTGTGCATGGAGTCCCTTTAGAGGGACGGATGTTACCCAAGTATCTGTAAAAGTTAGGAAAAAATAACATGAAAATATTTCTTATTTTTTTACACGTAAACTTACTGTAATGACAAAAATACAAAAATCGTTATTTTTTAACTTCATGCACTAAGGTTAAGTATTCCAATATGCTTCCAATTAAACATGGAACACTTTGAAAATAATGCTTAATAACAAAGTTGAAATTCGATTTTCAACTGTTAATATCTTCTAGAAATTATCGAAAAAAAAAATTGCAATGTTTGTCTCGTACCTTCTAAGTGAGCCTTTATTATCCGTTAAAAGGAATGACGCTAATTTTGAATCATCCTGTAGGTATTTGAAAATTATTTATCGTGAAAAAAAGGATAGTAGTGAAACAATTGTGCGATGATATAAAAGAGAGCAAATGAAAAGATATGTGTTTTCACTCTCATGAATCACGCATCAATCGGATAATTAGTTTGTGAGAAATTTAGGAAAAGGCGGAAAATTGGGCGTTTTTTCGAAAATTCATAGCTCCGTCATTTTTTTGAGCTGGAGCACTAAAATTTTGAGAGAAAGTAGGGACTATAATGTTCCTTATATGTGCAGCGGGCTGCTGTGAAATTATTAGTTTTCTCAAAATCGCGAAAAAAAGATTAAAAGATTTATTTAATCTATATGGTTGTAAAAAAATAACAGAATATTTCATAGATACACGAATAA